ACTTTGATTGTCGATATTGTGATTGTAAGGAGTGAGAGAGGAAGAAGAGAGAGAGAGAGAGAGAGAGAGAGAGTAAGAGTGAGAGTGAGAAAGGTAAAATCTTTCTTGAAGACACACGATGATAAGCTCACTAACTACTCTCTCTTACAATCCATCAGCATCTTTATCCTTATTATCATCTCTCTCTCTCTCTCTCTCTCTCGAATTCATCTTCTTCATCTCAATGTTGTTGTCTATACAAACTAACGTTATCACTTTCAATCATAATGAAAATATTGAATTTGCCTGCTAATTAACACCAACAATTAACCTACACCTTAGTAATTAAACAATGTGCCAATCAAAAAGTTGATTAATTTTTAATTTCCATTTTTTTTACAAAACACTTTTTTTAAACAGCAACAATTACTAAAATTTCACCGGTGTTTACAATATTGTTTTCCTATCACAAAATCAAAGCCATTTCTGTGTTAAATAACAAAAAAAAAGAAACCTAATTAAACATCAAATATAAAAAGTTAAAAAGTTATAATTTGTTAATAATTATGGTTAATTCATTTTCATCATGGGTAGACCATCGTGTTGATCTGGAAAAATCAAGCCTCAGGCCATTTATTGATTTTGATCCTGACGATTTTGCAAGTAATCATCTTAATATTATTTTCCAATTTAATCATCACAATCAACCATCTCTTAATCCATTACCTGTTGATTGTTATTTACTTTTCATTCCAATTTAATATCAATTCAACTCTTCCGGGATAAATTGGTGTTATTGTTGAAGAAAAAAAAACGTGATCACAATGTGACTTTCTCTCTCTCTCTCTCTCTCTCTTCTCCTCTCCTCTTGCATCTTGTTATCTTCCTCCTCTTACCTGTATCATCATCATCATCATCATCATCATGTTCCTCTTTCTCGTACTTTTCCCTCTCTTTTTTTGAACAAAATTAAGTTCTCATCAATCTGATCAGTTTGAATCTTATTCTTATAAAGTCCAAGTATTAATCTTTTTTTTTCAATCCATTTCTTTGTCCAGATAATCCAACAAAACGTAATCCAGAAACAATATCAACCCATGGACGAATCATGCCTTCCCGTGATCCCGTCCGATGGGTTGACCTGGAAACACGCTACGGGAAAGTCCCGTTTAAACGTCAAATGAGCACAACAGTACATTTAACTCGTAACGCTGGTTCCTGTTGTTCCCATAACACTTTGTTCAATATATTTTCAAGTCTATTTCCAATCCTTTCTTGGCTTAAATCCTACGATGTTAAACATGATCTGGTTAACGATGTTAACGGCTGCCGCTCACTTACCCCAAGGAATGGCCTATGGACTGCTCGCCAATCAATGGACTCTATGTATCTTTTTTCCCGGTCATTATTTATGCTCTTATGGGTACATCAAGACACGCATCGGTTGGTAAGTTAATCCTTTCAATTTACTTTAATCCTCTTAATCCATTTTTCTTTGGTTAATCCATATTCGATTTGATTTGATTTCTTTTGTCTGTGTAACAATTAAGAGAGACAATTAGCCAATAGTTAGTGTACAATGTTATTAATTGTTATACTTTCTCATCTCTTGTCTAGGATAATCTAATTATCTTATGTAATTATTAATCTGGTTTATTCTAGATTCTAATGGTTTCTAATTAATCCTACTTGGGATTTACTATCAGTTAATCATTAATTGCGATTATATTTGATCTTGATTTACAATTAGCTTAATTCTAATTATATATTTGTCTTTAATATTAAAATTAAGTTTAACTTTTTGTTTCCCAATCAAATTGTTTATCTTCAATCAATATAAACAATCAAACAATTTATTCTGATCTAAATTAGGATTTAATTGATTAGACTTAATTGTGTCTGGTAAATGGTCATTATCAAGGGTAAATCATGATTGTTAATTGTTGAAGGTCATTAATGAGGAATCAAATTAACTAATGAAGGTTATGAATGTTTAATTGTTAATCATTTGACTACTTCCTGGTTTAACCTTGAAAATTGATGAAAATTATATCTATCAGATTATAATTAACAATAAGTAACAAAATTAACTAATTAATATATATAAGATAAGCTTTAATTAGTTAATAATTGTCATTGAAACATAAAGGATATGATTAGTTGATCGTCTAATTAACCAATCAATCAATCAATCAATGATTTACTAATCATTTCACACTTTCACTTGTATTGATTTGTGATTAAATTAAAAATTTAATCAATTGAAAGACCTTATCAAGGTCAATCCTTGACCTTTACTATTTAATTTTGATAATGATAACAATCAGTTGATAAACTAATTAGTGTATTATTATTAATGGTTAATTAATCAACTTAAATCTAATTAGCTTAAATAATCATAATGATCAACATTTCATGATGATAATACCAATTAACTTGTGAATAATGAATAGATGAACTAATGAGAAAAAAAAATATAATAGTAATTAACTAATTAACCATTTGAATGATTATTCTGTTTGTCTAATTAATCAGGAACCTTTGCCATCGCCAGTATCATGACTCGGAATACAATGAACAAGCTCGGAGTTCCTCCTGGAACTATGTCAATAGGACATGGGAATAGAACAATTAATTTGGATTATCTTAATCATCCAACTCCATTGTATACAAGTTTAGAAGTGGCCACAGCTCTTTGCTTCGTGGCGGGTGCCATAAGATTAGTAATGGGAGTTTTCCGCCTCGGAATTATATCAATACTATTATCTGATCAATTGGTATCAGCATTTTCAACCGGAGCAGCGATTCATGTGGCCACAAGTCAAATCGCCGATCTTTTCGGCTGGAAATCACCCAAAACCGTCAGTGGACCATTTAAATTGATCTATGTAAGCAAATCAGGTGAACAATCAATTGATTTCAACTAATTGTTGTCTTTGTCTTTTTCCTCCCAAAATAGACTTGGATTGATCTGTTTAAAGCCGCGAGTACAACTAATTGGGTAACAACGTCGCTCTCAATTGTTTGCATTGTTATTTTATCGGTTTACAAGGAGTTTATTGATGAACCAATGAAGAAAAAGTTTCACCTTCCGGTTTCCGTTCCGATCGATCTGCTCATTCTTATCTCATCAACAAGTGCATCATATTTTATCAGGATGAATGTAAACTATGGTGTTCGTATAATGGGAAATATACCCAAGGGTTTACCTTCAATATCAACTCCGAATCTTGATCTTTCGGTTAAACTTTTACCCGATGGTTTTGCCGTTGCAATGGTAACTTATGCTATTGGACTTTCATTGGGTAAAATTTTCGCCAAGAAACATCGCTATCAAATCCGTCCCTCACAGGAACTTATCGCTCTTGGAGCTGCTGATCTACTTTCCTCGTTTTTCTCGTGTTATCCTTGTTCTGCTTCACTTTCACGAACTCCCGTTCAAGAAAACGCTGGTGCTCGAACTCAACTCACCGCACTTATCGCCTCACTTATCATGCTTCTCATCCTTCTCTTCCTTGGTCCACTCTTCTTTTATCTTCCAAAATGTGTCCTCTCATGTATCATTCTGGTGGCATTGAAAAATATGCTCATTCAAATTGGTGATATAAGACAAATCTGGTCAGTCTCCCGACTCGAAGGTATCTGTTACCTGATCACTTTCCTTTCAACTATTGTACTTGATGTTGACCTTGGCCTTATTGTCGGTGTCCTGGTGGCCATTATCATGGCTCTAGTCCGTTTCATGGCACCAAATGTATCACTTTTAGGTCAACTTCCTAATACAGAGATTTATGTTGAGAAAAATTATTTCCAACAAGCAGTTGAATTGGATGGAATTAAAATATTCCGATTCTCATCGGCACTTTTCTTCCTTAATACTGAAACTTTTCGTGAAAATTTGTTCAAATTTTGCTTCGATTGTGCCTTTTTCGAGTTGATGGAAGCCGATGATTCGACACGTAAACTAATTCTCGGTAAAACGACCGCTGTAATAATCGATTGTTCAACAATCTCTTACGTTGATTCACCGGGAGTTGAGATGATCCTTGAGATTTTCAATGGATTAAGAGATATTCGGGTTCGCTGTTATCTGGCCTCATGTCCGGCCATTTTACTCTCCATGTTAGAGCGGACTCGATTCACCGAAAAGATAACAGCTAAAAGGTCACCAATTTTCCCGACAATTCATGATGCCGTTATTGCAGAATCATTATCAATACCATTATGATTATAATCACAACAATTAATTTCTTAAATTAACTTTAAATGCACAACACACAAAGATAATCAACAAAAAAAAGAGGCAACAATTAAATTTAATCAATGGTAATCTCACCATTTCGATATCATCAATTTACAAAATTGGCACTTGAGAGTCTTTTTATTTTAAATTGTCCAAAGCAATCAAGCAATCAATCAACAATTGATCAACTATTTAACTAATTGTATAAATTGTTTTTACACCAAAATTTATTTTTGATCAAAATTTTACCCCAAACAAACAATAATAATAACCAATTGAATGAAAATGGGAAAACAATTAACTGTGATTTGATAAATTGGGTTCCAAGTAACCATGTTACATATTATAACAATTATTATGACAATCAACTAATTTGATTCAATCTTTTAACTGTATTAATCATTATATATATTGATTTGATTGATAAATTGTTGTTATCACTTTTGACTGCGCGAATGATATAAAACCACCAACTCAATTTAACCGAACTGTATAGAAACAAATTTACTAATTATTAAGTTAATAATGTCAAATGAAATTTAAGTGAATCAATTTTGTCTAATGTATTTGTAAACTTAAATTCAATTAGAAATCAATTATATTAATTGTCACAAATGTTATTAACCAACCAAACCTTTCAACGATATTTTAATAATATGGAATCAATGAAAATCTAGTAAATTTAATCACTAATCACTAGAAGAGAGCGAGAAAATGATTAAAAGTCAGCGAGTTAACATAAGAGATAGATTAGATTAGCAATTAGAATCAAGTGCCATTGTAATACCTGTAAAAATTGCAATTGAATCAATTAATCTAATCTAATTATCTCTCTCTCTCTCTCTCCCATCCCTCCCATGGTTTGAATTCCCGATAATCAATCAATGAGCAAATGATAATTGTTGTAGTAATAATAATGATCAGAAATAAACAAACAATCAAAATACAACAGCAACTAAAATCTAAAACCTAAAAGTCCAACTATTAATTGTAATTAGTGTATTGATTTTTATTTCCATTTGGTAAACATTGGTAACAATTAAGTATAATAATAATAATAATAATAATACCAAACGGATTAACGGATCACTTGATCACAAGCAATTTAATCAATTGATCCTGATCAACCAATGGAAAGTTAATCAATGTGTTTAATATGTGATTCAGTTAAACTTTTTTTCATGTTAATTTTTGTCGTACGTTATTGATTGTATTTAATTGTTACCAATTTGTGTGGATTGTTTATTTCCGTTAACAGCATTTTAAAAATTAACAATTTAAACTAATTGTTGATTTAAATTTGAGTAAAACAAAAATCAAACAAAAGGGTTGAACAATAATCTTAATTGTTTCCCTTTCATAAAGATTATGGAAACTTTTTTCACTCAACCTTAGGAACTGAACATTGATTCCTAAATGAACTCGGACGGTCTCTTGGCCGATCTTGATCTTTACTCATCCTCATCTTCATCTCCATCCTCATCTTTATCATCATCATCATCAACACCATTCAAATGTTTAGATTTCCTTGCTACCGGGAGTCCAGAGGATTGGCTTCACAATACAACGATAATCTCTTACCAAAGCCAGCAAACTGTTTGGGTTCACAAAACGTATCTAGAGATGAGCCTGAAGGCATTGATTTTCTTAATCATAATCGGCGTCTCTTGCATTGGTAATTATCTAATTGTCATGGTTATAATTAAGTTCAAAAATTCTCGAAATTGTACCAACCTGTTTATCTGTAACATGGCAATTGCTGACCTGTTGACCACTCTAATGTTTGCATGGGCCTCGTTGATTGAAAATCTTTATCAAAATTATGTTCTTGGTCCAATTTTCTGTAAAATTGAAACCTCAGCTAAAGGTAAGTGAATGTTGATCAATTTAATTTAGTTTTAATTAACAATTAACTCACATTGGTGTAAGTTAATGAGACTTACCTGTTAGATTTACGTCATCAGACTCCGGTGGTAATAGTTAATTCATTTATCTGATGTCAACCTTGTTGATCTATTTTTACTTTACTAAATCAATTCTGTTGATTAATTGATTAGTTGATTTCTTTTTGTTTTAAATTGCTCATCAATTATTCATCTTTCAATTTGATTTACCTTTTTTTCTTCTCTCACCAACAATTAACTCTCATTATCGCAATCAAATTTTCAATCAATCGAAGGAGACATTTGATTAGAAACACAATTACATGAGTAATCAATTAAATCAGTTAAATGTTCATATGAGACAATCTCACATGCAAACTAATTGATTAAATCAATTTAATTGAAAGGTTATTACAGTTAATGAATTGGTAACAATTTAAAATCATCATTATTATTACTCAAAATATTAATTGGGGGATAATCAAAGATCAATGTGATCAAATTAATGTCACAATTTGATTGTTAAATGGAGAGAGATAGAAATCAAGTCTAATTGTTATCCAACGTAATTAATTTTCCATGCAAATTATTGTTAATTAATTTGAATCATTTTCTTTTTCAGTATTATTTTTAATTTCCAGTGTTTTCTCATTAACATGGATTTCGTGTGATCGTCTAATCGGATAATCAAACCTTTAGAAACCCGATGAAAAAACTCGAGCCGTTGCCGTTATGGCCTTTATTTGGCTTTTATCCTTCGTTATCGGATTCCCTTTATTTTGGCGTGAATATCGTACCCGTCAATGGTGTGACTACTTAGAGGTGCCGATCAATTGTTCTTAATCAATTAAAGACTTGACAATTAACTGAGAAATTTTTTTCATTCTGATTATCATTTAGATTTGGTGTAAAACCGATGGTCGGAAAATTGATGTTTACATGTTTGTCCTTTTAGCGTTTATGGTTTATATACCGCTCTTCATAATGACCTTTTCTTATTGCCTGGTTATCGCTAAGATGAAAAACTTTGAGAATAAAATAAGCACCGATGAGAATAGTATCAAAATTAAACACCGACGGAAAGTGATCTTAATGTTATTCATCTATCTAATCACTTCGGCCATTTGTTGGAGTCCATTACAAGTTATCGTTTTTTACCGTTTCATTGCATTCAAATCAGTCGATTCGGTAACTATATATATATTGTTTTGATTGTTGTCGATTGACAATTAACTAATTGTCTAAATGAATTTCTCTTTGTTGACTGTTTAAAGGTTAAACCCTGGAACGAGGAGGCTAAATTTTGGGCTCAAGTTTTCGCATCGGCTAATTCAGCTCTTAATCCATTAATCTATGGGATAACTAATGGTTCATTTCGTAAAGCCATTTGTTTACTTTATCCAAAACTTTCCTGGTTCTTAAGATTGGACAGTTCATCTTCACGATCTCGTCGAGTGACCAATGGTCATAATGGAAACGTTGGAGGAGCCAATGGACAAACTCGTGACCGAGATCTCGTTAAATCAACATTTACCATGTCTAATTGTGGTAAAAAAAAGACTGAACATCATGATCATATTAATCATCTTAATCATCAACTTCAACCATCAACAATTAAAACAATCAGCGGACGATCAATTCAAATGGTTGATATTAATGTAACCGGATTCAGAGCGTTGAGAGCAAAAACAAATCATCATCAAATCTAATCATTTATTTAACAATTAACAGAGAGAAAAAACAATTAATTCTGAAATTTCATTGAGAAAATACCCAATCAATTAAACTAATATAATTTAATTAACTATTAAACGCGAAAATTGTAACAATTACTTCACCAACCGTCACAACAATTAAATCAAAATGTAATTTGATAAAAAAACAAATGTTGATGCAAAAAAATTGATTAACTTTTAATTGGACATTAAATTATCAAATAAAAGATTAGCAATTAATAGTATTTAAATTACAATTGTCAATGTAAAAAATAGGCACATATCTAGACAAGTATTTCGAGTTAATTGTTGTTACAATTAGAATCTAATTTGAACACTTATAAAGTTGATTTAGTTTCTCAACGTCTTTTACTGATAGAAATGGTTTATCACAAGGATGAACCAAATTAACTCCTTCCTGTTTGGGAACCATAGTTAATAGATTAGCTGATTTACTGAATGCTGCTCCATCATAATGCATAATTGATTCTGTAACAATTAAGATAAATATAAGAAAAAAAAAGGTTCTAACAATTAAGTAAAATGTAAACTCTCACCATAATCGTAAGTTGTGTAGAGCCGATTCTCATGTGGATTCAGTTTAATGAACATATTCTTAGCCCCTGATTGTATATTATCGTAGTTAATTGTTACATAATCATCTCGATCTGATCTGTTGTGTTCATGGTAAAATCCAAGAGCATGCATGGTCTCATGAATTATGGTTCCTTTACAATGACAACCATCACCTAATGAAATTGTCTGAAGTCCTCCAAGTCTCCCAACAAATGAATAGCAACTAATCACAGAATGATTAACATTTAGCATGAAACAATTAACAAATTACGAGGATCACTTACCCTTCATCGAAAATGAATTTAACATAATCACGTTCAGCGATTCGAGTCTTAAATCGTATACAAGTTTTCTGATGGAACTCATCTAGTGCTTCTTCAATCATTGACGATATTTTATCTAAATTGTTTCGAATAGAAAATCAGTTAATTGTTGTTGATTAACTTTTGTCATCACACAATATAAACTAACCTAATTTTGGATCAATTTCAATTGGTACATAAGCGTAAGACCAAAGATTATCATCAAATTCAATTGCGTTTCTAAATAACATCTAATCATAAACAATCAACGAATCAATTTAATGTTATTATTTGATGGTAATTTCTTATTGATATTAATAGATAACAATTAAATTAATTATTATTTAATCTAATTGTCGACTTACCTTATCATCATCATTGTTTGTTGATTCATTTTTTGCTCGCAATTTAATATCTCCTAGAAATAAACTTAAATCCTCCAATGGTTTAATTGATTGTTGGCTTGTAATCACTTCAGTAATTAACTGATCATCATTGAACTCATTGTCTATCTCATTAATCACTATTAATAAACAAATAAATAGAAACAAAATTAAAAGAAAAGTTAATTGTTTACCTTAATTGTAACCATGTTCATTGATTTGATTAGTGTCCATTTACCTGGAAGTGAGTTGATTGTGCTTGTTGATATAATCAAAAATATAAACGTAATCAAAGGTAAGTTAATCATGATTTAATTAAACAAATGAAAAATGGAAAGCTAAAGATTTAATTAACAGTGAACAAAAACAGAGTGACAATTAATTTAAATACTACGGGTGATTAGTTTTAATTGTCAGTGTCAGTGTTTTACTTAATTGATGTTACTCTTACTCTAAAAACGCCTTAACTAAATTAACTTATCATTATTAATGAACATGAAATTAAATTATCAACAATTACTTGACAAAAAGGTAGGAAAAAGATGATAACTAAATTGTTTGATTGTGATTATCAACTATTGTTATTATGTTGATTAAATGGTTGCACTTCAAGTTTCTCACTCTCTTAATTGTCAAATAACAGCAATTTAAATCTTATCATCTTTTCATTACTGTAATTACGTTTAATTAATTAATCATCACACATTAATAATGTTATTTAGCTTCTGAACAATTAACCTTCCTAATGATTAGAGACAAATTTTCATTGCTTTTACATCGTATTGATGAAATTGAGAAACTTTTTCACAACAATTAGTTTAAGTAGATAATGTTGATATTTTTATATGATTAGATTTGATTGTCTGAGGATAAATCAACAATTAGATTGTAAATTGGACAATTCATAGCAATTAGAATAAAAATTAGACTCTTGGATTTATGTTGAAATCATCGATAATTTTGTCATGATCAATCTATTAATAAATCGCTATGAATATTACAATAAACATGAGGAGACAATTAATCGAAACAATCAAGGTAATCGCAAGACCAAATTGCGATTGTATTAATATTACGTGACAAAAGTCCAAATTTGAAGGTCAAAATCCAAGTAATGATGCTCACTGGGAAATCAATTAAAGGCCAAAGCTAAAATTAAGGCCATTTTTAACGCGATGATTTGATTGAAATTAGTTGATCTTATTGGTGAAAACGAACGAAAAACATTACTTGGACTGAACGAAGTAAAAAAATAACAGAAACTTTATTTTCAATTTGATCTTCTTTCTGGTCATTACAACGTCCAAGAGTTTTCATCATTATCCTTGAACTTAATCAGATTGATCGTTTTCTTGTAATTGTCGATTGTTGAAGAGTTGATTGTGTTTCATCGTTTAATTGTCGAGTCCAACTGAATGTATTTCGATTAAATTCAAATGATACTGATTTATCAGCGACTTTTCGTTTCATCACTTTGACATAAATTGTATTTACGATAAATCCAATGATTAGACCAGAGATTATGAATAAAAAGTAACAATAGTCATTTCATTAATCTCCTTTCACCGGAATTTATACTTATAATTGATCCTCAGATTCTCAAGCAAATTCAATTGGAAAATGAGTTTATATTTATAGATTTTTTTCCTGATTGAAAGTTATAATCTTAATTATTGTTACTCCTTTAGGTGAATCGTCACAATGAAGAAACAATTTAAACGAAATTACAATGAAAATTAATGAAAGAAAATCATTTATTAATTAAGGGACAATTACTAATTTAACCAAAAAATTTTATTAATATTATCATTTCGTACCAAAGTGCTCAACTTGTCTTCCATCCCAATAATCATCACTACTTCCTCTTCCGCCTCCTACTCATCATCATCACCATGATCAGCAGCAACAACAATCAACTAATCAAAACAAAAAAACTAATCACAATCACAATTATAATTGTAATTTGTTATTCTTACAATTTGGTTCCAGTAAATGATAATAGTCATTCAATTGTTTTAAAACAAAATTTACTTCTTTTAAACTGTAAAACTGGACCAATGTGAGGTTTTAATTAAAAACTCATTGGAAATCTCAATGAGTGAGACAATTAAACAGCAATTAACTCAATCAAATAAAAACATATTGAAATCATCTAAATCAATCGGGCAAACAAAAAAATTTACAATTAATTTTTGAAGTTTTTTTTTCAATTGTAAAAAAATGTTTTAATCTAATTGTTAAATGATGAATGTGATTAAGATTTTCATCAATTATAATCATGGCAATTGATTTATCTAAGTAAATTTTAGTTAATTAGTTAAATGAGTTAATTTTTTCATATTAAACTAAAAGTTTCCTGCAACTTTTAAAAATAAGAGGTAAATTGTTTTGACTATTCAATTGGAAACAATTTAACCCCAAACCATTGGAGTGATCATACTTGCCGCCGAGCTTGACCCTCCACCGCCACCAGCCATTCCCCAGCCAGTTGACCTCATCATTTTACTGGTCATCGGAACAGGAATCGGTAAATATTGTATCGGGCTCATAGACGATCCTCCACAACCTCCTCCACAGCCTCCAGAGCTCATTCCCCATCCTCCACCGTCTCCACCTCCACCTCCATTACCACCACCACCACCACCTCCTCCTCCCCATCCACCACCACCGCCACCCCATCCTCCGCCACCACTTCCTTTGTTACCTTCTCCACCGATGATAATAATTGTAGGTGAACTTCCGCCTTTTCCTTTGCTTCCTTTACCTTTACCTTTTCCCTTATCATCGTCATCATCATCATCTCCTTCATAAACCATCATTGGCATTCCTAAACTAATAGTAAACAATTAACAATTTAAAAACTTTGCTTCTCAATTAACCAAAACAATAAATGAAAAGATCATTACAAACCTCCTCCACTTCCCCAGCCACCACCACCGCCACCCCAACCTGATCCACCACCGCCACCATTACCTAGTAAATTACATCTTAATGGTTACATTAATTGTTCACAATTAAATTAATCAACATCTCATCTTACCTGCACCAATGATGATCACATCGCCACCTCCTTTGTCACCTATGAAATATCATGGGAAAACATGATTAACACAATTAACAATAATCCTTGATGATTTTTTGTGATGTTTTTATCAATCAAAATTGAAACAATTAAAATTAATCACAGAAATTAACTAATTTACCTCCTGCTTCCAGTCCAATCGTATTTGTAGTAATTAAAATCAATTGAATCCAAATAATATTCATTTTGTAACGAGGAAAAAAAAAAGAAACAATAATTTTAAGAAAAAAGTAATTAACAATTTAAGATAATCAGTTAGGGGATAGATAAGTTCACAATTAAATTAATCGACTTTTCTTCATCTCATCATCACCACAATCAAATTAATAATAATCAATTTAATTGTCAAAACTTTTCTCTCAGATTAAGAATCAGCAGCAAGAAACGGATAAGAAAAAGATGATTACAATTAATAATTAATCTAAAGTTAATTGTTTCAACAGTCACTCATATTGACAATAGTTCATTTTAATTATTATTAATAAATTGTTCATCATTAACAACACTTAATTGTCTTAGAAATTTAAATTGTCTAATGATCACCAATTGTCTCCATTATGATTAAAAAAAACAATGAGTATAAATTAACTGATCCAATTAACAATTTCTTAACACTAAATACAGAAAATAAATTGTTCCAATTTTAACTGTAACAAATTAAGACTTAATTAATTGATTGTTTTAATGACAATTAACTTTTTTTTTTCAATTAATCCAAACTGTAGCGCCATCTCTTGGGTGTAATTGGAAAACTTATTAAAACAATTGAACTTGAATTTTTTATTTTTTATTAAATTAAATTAAATTAATTTTTCTCTTGGTTAATTTCAATTTAGGTGAAATCTATTGAATATGATTAAAAGATGATTAATTATAATTAAAGTTGTCTATTTGTTGATGATTATGGTGAAGAGAGTAAATTGTTTCAAATAAACTCCCAACGAGCAAAATTAAGGTAATGATTAGGATGATGAGATCAAGTCAGTTAGTTAATTGTTGTCAAATTAACTATACACTTAACAACAAATAAACCTGAAAGTATTTACAAACAATTGATTAGTAAAGTATCTGATTAAGACGATAATCAATTTTCTGATTAGTTGATTGCTAATCAACAATCAACGTAGTTAATATTTTCATAGACTTTTTTTTCCTGATAAATGTAAATCATTTCATTACAAAATCAAAGGAGAGAGAGAGAGAGACAAAGTCAAATTAATAGACAATTAGTTTAAAATTAGTTTAATTGATCAACTAATTGTTATTGATTATGTTGGTTAACTAATTTTACTCAGGTTTGATTGTGTTTTCTCTCGTAACAATTAATATACTGTTGCTAATCCGAATCAATTGGATTAAGAAAAAGTTTAATCTCTCATTTGTGCCATTTTTGTGATTTGTTTTGTTTTATTTTTCCCTGTGTGTTAATTAATCAATCAATCAATCCGGAGACAATTAACTGATGATAGTTATTAATGATCGAAACCACTCAAATAATAAGTGTGGTAAACAGACGAAAATATTTCCAGGTCGAATACGGAAACGGGTCGTTCTCAAAAATGGTTCGGTTAATTTATGCAAGGAACACGTTGAGAAACGGAGTCAACGTTATCTTCAGGATACTTTTACCACAATGGTGGACATTCAATGGCGGTGGAATCTACTGGTCTTCTCAATGGGATTTTTACTCAGCTGGTTAGGATTCGCCATCATTTGGTATTTCATCGCTTATGTTCACGGTGATCTTGAGCCTTCGGTTATTGCTGGTGGCGGTGGAAGTGGAGTTGGTGGTGGTGGTGGTGGTGGTGAAAGTGACTCTCAGTTAGTTGCTCCTGATTCTGTTTCCACTAATGGTGTTTTTCCTGTTGTTAAACCTTGTGTCCATGGGATCGATTCATTTACTTCAGCTTTTCTTTTCTCGATTGAAACTCAGCACACAATCGGCTATGGAGGTCGCCTACCAACAACCGAGTGTCCCGAAGCTTTAATCATCATGTGTATCCAATCAATAACCGGAGTAATGATTCAATGTTTTGTGGTTGGTTTTGTTTTCGCCAAATTATCTCGGCCCAAGAAGCGATCGCAAACTTTAATGTTCAGTCAAAATGCTTGTATTTGCCTTCGAGATGGTAAATTGTGTCTAATGTTTAGACTTGGTGATGTTCGTAATCGATCTCATATAATTGGTGCTTCCATTTCGGCTCTTGTAATTGATCGTAAGGTTACATCGGAAGGAGAGGTGATCCCTTATTATCACAATAGAGTTTCGGTTAAATTTGATAATAGCGATTCAAATGTTTTCCTTGTCTGGCCTGCGACAATTGTCCATGAGGTTGATTCAAGTTCACCCTTTTATTCAATGTCCGCTGATCATTTGGTTCGAGAACGTTTTGAGATTGTTGTTATTCTTGAGGGAACAATTGAATCAACTGGTCAATCAATACAAGCTCGAACCTCTTACCTTCCATGTGAAATATTGTGGGGCCATCGATTTGAACAGATGATCGGTTATCGTAAAGATACTGGACAATATCGAGTCGATTATTCAAAATTTAACAACACTTATGAAATCGATACGCCAACATCATCAGCTAAAGATTATTATGAATATCAAAAGTTTATCAATTCAACGAGTGGAAGAGGATTAATACCAATCGAAATGTTCAATGGTGCAGCGACAATTAACAAAATTAAAGAGGAAGAAGACAACAATCAAGCCTATTCACCTGATTCGGGAGTGTCGAGCACTTTGTTTATCCCAATGCATCAAATGCTAATCTAGAAATTTAAACAAATCAACAACAATTAACATCCGTTTAAGTTTCTAGATATAATTATAATGTTGCTAATGATGATGATGATGATGATTGTGTACATACAATCAAATTAGAATCCAAAGTTAATCAACTTGAGAAGTGAAAACAACAAACAAATGGATAACTAATCAAACTTATCCTCAAAGTGATTAATGTTAATCATTGGATTTTAATAGCAAACAATTTATATCCCTAAACTGAAATAGTTTAACAATCAAATGTGACAATCATCATCATCATCATGATAAATCGTAATCAACTATAATGATTAACAATCAATGATTAAGTTTCACTTTGAACAATTAATGTATTCATATCACAATCAAAGCTAATACTTTTGTAATAACATCAATTTAAAACAATTAACAGTTAAATTATCATGATTAAGGTAAATAATATTTATATATTTAAAAAAAAGGTTATTATGTTTTTAATTGTTGTTTTTGTAACTAATCATCACTATCATTAAGATGTTAATTGTTTTGATTGTTAAATTGTCCATTGATCTGTTTATATTTATATTATATATTATTAATAATACAAAAATCGTAATTGTAGTTGATTGATTGGGTAGTTTGCATCAATTGGCAGACATGATTAAGATTAACAATTAACTGTAACAAAACAAATTGATCATGATTTATGAATTGTTAAGTAGGCATTGACCCAGAAAATTTTCAAGCAATCAGTTAATTGTTATGATTAAGTAGTTAAATAACCTTACCAAGGTTCTGTTGATATATAATATATTGATTTTTGAATTACTCACCTTGATTATTGATTAAATTGATTGATAAAAATCAACAAATTGTAGTTGATTAAATATCATCATGATCATCATCATATTAGTTGATAATTTAGTAAATGATACACTTGAAGTAGCTTTAATTGTTACAATTTAATATAGTAAATACTGTTTAACCAATTCAGGTTAATTCAAGTTGAATTAATTACCGATAATTAATAATATAAATCAAGAGACTTTTGTTAATTTTAGATTAAATTAATTGGAAATCAATTAACTCTTTCCGGCTAAATAACAGAGCAATTAATTATAACCAATTTGATTCCGATTGATTAAAGATCAATTATCCAAGTTAAATATAAATACTACAGTTAAGACACTCGACTTGATTGTGATTAGTTTAATTGTTAAATATAATGGAAAGTGATTGAACATCCGGACAGAAAGAAAAAACTAAATCTAAATTAAGGTAAATGCTACAAATGCCCTTAGGGTAAATTGAGAAAAAACTTTTCTGTTTACAAATCAACTTGAAATGCGTAAATTGTTGAGCTAATTTGATTAACCAAAATGTATTCACAGTAATAAACAATTAACGATAATCAATATAATAAAGATGATTACTTGAATACGTTGCAATGTGATTAACTTAATTGTCCCGTAATAGATATTAAATTAAATTGATTAATTAGTAGTCGATTGCAATGAAATGAATTAACAATCAATTGAAACAATATAATTATTATCTCATTATTATTATTACAATGTATGTATTTTTTTGTGTGTATTTCATTTAAATCAAATTAATTTGAAATTATAATTATGCTTACAATTGATATAATTAAATTGTTAATTGTTGTCGATTGGTTTTTTTTTTAGTTTCTCATATAATTGATTAAAAGTTTTTCGCGGGAAATTTGGATCCATTGTAAATGCTGCAATTGGGAGGAGGAAGTGGGGCAAAGATTGATGGAGGTGGTGGTCATCGTGGTGGTGGAGGTGGTGGTCATCATCATCATCATCCTGGTGTAATTAATTGTATTGTGTGTGTGTGTTTATAGATTATGGTGTTGATTTTGTTTACGAGATTACGATTTAAATTTAGATTGTATTAATCACTCAGTGATTAAATAATAGACGGAAAAAATGATAAAAGCTAAAGATATAATTATTACAAGGGTTGAAAAATAGAGACAGCATTTGGCTGAGAAAATTTTCCTTGGTGATAAACAGGATAAATTAGGGAAACGGAAATTAATCTCCGGATTAACTTTACAGTAAAGGATGAAAAATGTCACCAACCTCCAAAGGATAAGGTGAAATGTTAGAGCGGTAAAATGGGTTGAATAATCTTTATCATTGAGCTCAAATTTGAACATCACTACGGAGATCACATTATTATACTCAGAATCACTTTGATCGTTTGATGCAAAAGACGAACCAGAATCACTTAGACGGACACCATTCTCATCGGAGTGGCATCTTTTCTGTCCATAAATGGTTAATAGAATGGCCTCAAAAGCGAATCGTATAAAGGAAAGGTAAGTTATAAATTGTGCTCGACCCATTGAATTGGATCGTACAAAGAAACCAGAGAAAAGAAAATTGAATAACATTATAACGGTGGCCACGAAAATGGAGATGTTAAAATTGGTGGTGAAAATGGTCCGATAAAGAAGCCAACCCTTGGGCTATATAAGAGGCAAGAATTGATATTGAGACAAAGTTATTAAATCTTGATGACTTGGTGGCAAAGGGGATCGCGTCTACCCATGAATTCAGGCCAATCTGTTGGGTTGTATAATAAGTGAATAGGGAATAGAGGTAGGGAAGGATTAACTGAATCCAGAATTCTGTTAATGTTTTGGCCATATAATAGGAGGCGGTTGAATACCATCCGTTACGATGTTCATTCATAAAGATTTTTATCTCAGAGGGAAAGGTTAACACCGTTGGCATGAGAGCGGCAAACATGAGGAAAAGTAGATTGAAAAATAGGTAAGATATGTTCCTATCGATATTTGATTCCTCACGAAGACGGGAAAGTGGAACTTGCTCCGTACAATTGGGTCGATAATAGTATCCAGCTGAATTTACCCTTAGGCAACCATCATCTACACCAATATTACCATCGTAAAGCATTGAAAGTAAAAGGGCAACGAATACATGTAAACCAACACGAATAAATAACCATAAAGGTTCACGACAAGTACCATGGAGAAATGAACGTCGAAGTAGATACATCATATGGCGAAGGCTAAGGTGATTCCGATTTTCTCTCATTTCTTCAACTTCAGACATTGAACTGGTATCAATTGAATCCATTTCGAATTCAATCAACTTGGCAGAAGATTCTTCTAATAATCGAACTTTTAATAATTCTTTCTCATCTAATGGTGTTACTATTGAAATTGTCGTTGACTCTTTGGGTTGTTGTTGTTGGTGATTTTTACGTTGTTGTTGTTGACTTGCAGGTCCATTTGGTGGTGATGAGGATGAGTATGAAATTGGATGAGATGAGAAGGATGTTGGTGGTGGTGAAAGATGAAGACAATTATTATGATTGTTGGTGTGATTACAGTTATTGAGACAATTATTTGTTGTTGTTGTAAAATGTGAGGGTGAAAGGGGTAAAGGTGACAGGGAATTTGATGATAAATTGGTTGTCGTTTTATTGACTTGTGACTTGGCGACTGCTGATGAGGATTTAGATGATGATCGAGATGATCGATGGCTTCGACTAAAGCAATCGGTTGGTTCTTCTTCGTCCAAAAGGCAAACTGTATTTATCGCAGCGGCATCAATGATAACATCCGCTGGATTATGTCCATTTGGACAATTAACCTGGAATTGAGATAAATATGAGCGAAGTACTTCCGGTCTACCTTGGTAAAGACATTTACCTGCTCGTGAAAGAACGTAAAGTTGATCAAACAGTTTAAGAATCTTGTATGAGGGTTGATGAATTGTCGCAATTATGGCCATTCCATGGGCCATGCAAAGTTTTTGCAATTGAGTTAATACGGTAAAAGAAACGTTTGAATCTAAACCTGATGTTGGCTCATCGATGAATAAAATTTTAGGTTTAACCTCTGAGGCCAATTCTTGAGCGATAACCAAACGTTTACGTTGACCACCCGAACATGAGTGTACCAAAGTATGGCGACAATTACGAAGGTCAAGTTGATCAATAAGCTCTTCAACAACCTTGGACTCATTTTGAGCACCCTTTAAACGGGAAGCATAAAAAATGGATTCAATAACCGATAAACAAGGGAACAAGTGATCTTCCTCTTTTTGGGTTATAAATGAGGCCTTATTTGCTAATGGATTACGATAGATTTTACCCTTATAACGACCTGACCATGTACCAAATAAGCATTGTAACAATGTTGTTTTACCAGCACCCGAAGGTCCCATGATAGCGGATAGATCATGGAATCGAAAGACACCTGAAATGTTTCGTAAAATGGCCTTACGACATTTATGGGACATGGATTTAACCAGGAAACCGTCAAGTAGATCCATTGGTTTATAAACGGTAAGGTTTCGCCAGACAACGGCCACATGATTGTTTTCATCAACGGTGGTCACTTGAGGTGGACACATGATGTTATTTGTTGACGGTGGTGATAACTTTTTACCACTCAAATCAATCGGTTTGATTGTTGATGATCCTGATGATAATCCGTGATGCTGAATGTTGGTTACCTGTTTAGATGGTTGATTATCAGGATCAGCTGATTGGTTATTTAAACCGTTACAACAATCACGGTAACGATTTCCTATGGGTTCACACTTTCCCGTTACGTCACACGGGGTCACTTGTGATGACCTGGTAACGGGTGAACCGTTTGGACTTTTGGGTATCGTCGTCGTGCCTTAAGTTTACGGTGAATCACAAAAAAAAGGTTCTCGGCGGTTTTGATTGTTGATAATTTTCGTTGATCAACTTTGATGATGATTTATGATGATGATGATTTAACTGTGAATTAATATAAATTGAAGAGAAGTTTTTTTTTCAGCTCTAATCAAAATTAATTGTAAGCAATTAAACAACAGAAACAACAGAAAAAAGTATTCACAACAATCAAACTGGTTAATTATGATTTCTAAATAGAAGTGATAACTTTTTTTTGTCTTCTGCGGATTCGATCAATGAATTTAGGTCAAAGTTAAGGTTAATTATTGATGATTAATTGTTGTGATTATATTATATGAGATTATGAGGATAAATCGTCAGATTGAACGTTATCCGTTTTTCGATGAGATGAAAAGTCGATAGAGGACAAGATTAAGGAGAGAGATAGAAAGATGAAGAAAACGAAGGTAAAACTTAATTTTCGATTAGATTATGATTGCGAATATGATCAGTTGATTGTTGACTGTTAATTGTGGATGAAACTTGTAGGTGTCACGCTTGAATCTATCAAGATTGATTGTGATTTGCGAAAAATGTTAATCAAGGACTTGTTGATCTTATAGAATCGCCTTGTTGTTGTTGTTGGATTAGAGTAGTTGATTGATTAATAACAATAGTTAATCCAATGGTTTTGGTAATGATCATTTGTGATCTCCTCATAATAGTTATTGTTATTGTTAATCAAACTCAATTGAATCCAAATGAGTTAATCCACCAGAATTAATCAAGAGAATTGAATGAAAAATCCACCAAAGAAATTGAATTAAAGGCCAATAATTGAGGGAAAATGAAACTTGATCAATGATCAACAACGTTAAGGTAACAATTAATAATCTAATTACACCTTAATTATCTGATTAACAATTAATTGTAAGAAAGAAAAGTTTTAAATTATTTGTTGATTGTGTTGATTTCGATTGATTGATTAACGTTCACAAATCGGGTGTTGACAATTGTTTGTTTATCTCTCCAATCTATGATTAAATATTATCACGAATTAACAATTTAATTAACAGCAACTTTGGGTAAGGTGATTAACAATTTTCGTTGATATTGTTGATTGTTGGACAATGTTGAATATTAATTGTTTAGAATTAGTTGATCACTATAAATGTATAGAGAAAGAAAAGGTAAAATTTTCAGTTAATTAACTTTTTCGTATATTATCAATTTAGTTGAACAGGTAAAAGACAAATGATGACCAAATCAATGTTACACCGATGATTATATAAATTGTTGGAAACATTTAATTGTAAACAATTGGAGTTAATCATCATGATGATAATGTTAATTGTGATGTTTTCCATATAATTTTATTGGTACTTTTAACTAACCAAAAAGGGGATTTTTTTTCAATACTATTTGTTGATTCTTTGCAGAAAAATATAAATAAATTATTACCTGTTGTTGTTATTTTAACAATTACGTTAAAAAAAAGCCTTAATCAAGTCAATTGCTATGAAGTTATGATTAATAAATTGTTATGATAATAAAAATCACAGGTAACATGAAATAATCAAGGGTAACTAAACGATATAAACCTTGAGGTAAAAACTTATTATCAAGTTGACAATTAAAATGGTTAAATATAAACACTGGGAGTTAAATGGTGATAAAGGTAATTCAATGGTCAGTATAAGGATAACAATTGGTCAAGAGGGTTTCAAGTATATTCATATTCAAATTATTGATGTTTAACTACAATTGCTTTCTAATTGTTGACCAATTTTCAAAGGTTTTCAATTTATCACTTTCGCTTTCACTTTTTATCCGCATCACCAATTGAAAGGACAATTACTTTTTATTGTAAATGTTTATCTTCATCTTCATCATTGTTTTTCCTGATTCCTGATTTTGTCACCCTCTTGAAAGTATATTGACCATCCTCTTGTTAACCTATGACCTCTTTGTTTGTCAATCTAAGTACACACATCTCTATACATGTATATGCATAAGTATTGAGTGAACTTGAATCAATACTTGATGATCAAAATTTGTCGACAGGTAAATTGTCATTGACAAGGTACAACAACAATCAACAGGTAAATGTCAACGCCCTGTTTGTTATATTACAGGTAAATTGTTGTTTAATTTAACAGCAATTTGCTAAAACAAAATTAACTAATTGATTTGCCATTTTGTTTTTACATTGTCACAGGGAAACACACAATTAATTATCAAACATGGTAAATATAACAAATCCATAAGCAGTAACAATAACAAATTAAATGCTAAATCACAATTAAGAGTCACTGATTAATAAGATTGCCACAGTTAATGGGTAATCATTATGAACAGCTAGTTAACAATTAGCTAATTGTGATTTTTTTTATAACATAGGTTTTTACTTGCTCTTAACAATTAAAATCTATCACCTAACCAACGTAATTAACATATAAGTTTAAAACCTTCATTCCCTCGATAAGTTAATTGTTATCGTTAATTAACTTTCTTCGTTTAATCCTCTCAACCATTAACCAAACAATTAACCATTAAACCATAGACAATTAACTGATTTACATGATAATAAAATCATCAGCATAAAAATAGAGTTCAATTAATTGTTAGTTAAAATGTGAAAAATAATTCAATTGATATAAATGAGAAAATGAAAAGAAAAACAAAAATTTCAATTCATTTTCATGGAGATAAAGTTCATTTACTCATTTCAATTGTTATGGTTTTTTTTCATGATAAAATTATTGTTGAATAAAAATTCAAGAAGCTAATCAAAGTGAATCAAACAATTTAGAGAGAGAGAGAGAGAGAGAGAGAGACAAAAATAAACAACAATTAGCAACAACAACAGCAACAATTAAGCATAACAATTAACAGAAAAATAATAACATTAAACTCACAAGAAAATTTTCATTTCATGATGAAAATTTTATATACCCAAATGAGAAAGCAGAATGTTGTTAATTTTGTTAAGTGATTATCGTTAATTGTTCAAATTGTGTTATTGTTAATCATTGCAATTAACACATTAGCTTGATAATTAACAAATAAAACACGAAAAAAAAAATACAAAACTTGGCACAAAAGTATCAACCGATTACCTGATTATCAGTTAATTAATTGTCATGATGATGATGTGAACAAAAAAAGGTAAGAAAATTGTTTTTTTTTCATCAATCATGAATCAGAATCTGAATCATCTCCATCATCATCAACAACTCAATCCTTTTATTCATATAAATATATATATATTATACGATTAATACCATGTCCGGGTTGTGAGTATTTCTCATTATCAGAATGCAGAAAAAAGTTAACTTGAAATGCTTAAAACTATGACCGTTACCATGGTTACTTTCAAGTTTACCTCATCACCTGATTTCGGGTGGGGATTCATCAAGATAACTCTAGGAACCTTTAACCCCACCCTATCTGTTACTAATAACTATAACTGTATCTTAGCTTGGATTTAGCTGAAACTTTTGAAAATTGTTCCAAAAAGCCCTCAGGACATGAACTCTCTCAATTAATATAATGATAATTAATAGCTGAATGAAGGTAACATCAGAATGAGAGGAGAAGCAAAAAAAAAGTTACTCAGATTGGAGACAGAAAAAAAAATTATCATTAACAAATTTTCATTCATTTTATTTTCCAAATCAAAGATCCGGTTATATGATTACAAGAAATTGAATGATAACCACCATGTCTCTGAACTGGTGATAATCAGAATTAATCATGACAAGAATTCAGCATGATTAGAATTTAAATTATTTTCCATTTTTTTTTTCTCTCTCGAAACTTTTCATCTTTCCATTAGAACTTTTTTTTTCGACAAGGACAATATGTTATCATAATACTTGGAGACGAATTCAAATTCGGATCTGAACGAACATTATAAGAATCCAAGGTAATTAACTAATTAGATAATTGAACAATTGGATTCGATTATTTTCCCATTTTTTTTTGTTCGCCAAACAATTAAAAGAATCATTTGCAATCTCTCCGTTGATCACAATTTAATTAACTATTCCAATTATAATGACGATAATTATAATCGTCCAAAGTAAATTTCTAATCTTAAACATGTTGAAATGTGAATTGAAAAAAGCACAATTTCCAATCAGAAGTAATTAAAGTAAAATAAAAAAAAATCCCAATCTGATAATAATAAATTAACATGATAAATATAAATCAAGGTATCATCTGAATTAATAATCATCATCATCATCACAACAACAACATGATTAAAATTGATTATCATCAACAGTTTAATATTAAAACAAGTGAGAAAAAAAGTGAAAATGGTTTCAAGTATAAAAAGTGATATTAATAGATGATGATGATGATGATTGTGGTGATTAAAGAGTTGGTGGTTAATTGTTGATTAACTGGCTACTAGTTTAATAATAATTGTCTGCAATCAAGGTGTGTGTGTTGATTAATCTTGATACAATCATGATATGAGCATCCTTCTGATCATCATCACCATCATCATTTGGATTGAATAACATGATGATGATGCTGAAAAAAAGGTAAAGATAAATAAACTTTTCAGACAATTGGGTGAGATCAGACTGATTGTTGATCATAATCATGATGAAAATTAACAAAACTTAATCATTATTATCATTTTTAATACCTTTACCTCATCAATAGTTTACTAATCATCTGGTTAATCAATTGATTCAGTTTTTCAAGTCACATTTTGACAATTTAATAACTAACAAAATTCATGGTTCGATTTGTAAAAACAACAATCAACAGGTAAATAAAAAAATACCAACAATTAAAGTTAATATTATCGCTTTTTTTTTACTCTTAATGTTAATTGTAAATGACAATCCCAATTCATCAAACCAATAAAGTTTAAATTGCTGTCAATCAAATTTAATCAATTTTGATCAAGTTAACTCACAACAATCAAAGTTAATTCATTTTACCTTAACCTTTTTTGTTGTTGTTGTTACTGTTGTTAATTAACTTGATTAACCATCAAAAATTTAATGCTCATTTTAAACAATTAACATTGAATATTTTGCTTTCAACAAAATCATCAATCGTTGATTAACTTTATATAATTGTCATTGAAACAAAGATATTAGATTTAAATTATTGTGATAATTGAATTATTATAATAATATAATAAAAGTAATCAGCTTAATTGTGGAACCGTTAATTAGCCAAGTTTGAAATAAATGACAATAATTTCATTAACAATTAAGAAAAACAATAATTATAAACATTAATGTCAAGTAACAATTGAATATCAGCAAAAGTCATTGAGAAAAACAAAAAAGTAAATTGATTGTCAATGCAATTAAATGGTCAGTTGATTAAAACAATTGAAAAATTAATCTTATTTATAATTAATTGTCGATAAGTTTGATTGATGCTAATCAATTATGATAATGGCTACAAGTGAAAATTGTCATTGTAATTGTGATTACCTAGAAAAACAATTAATTGAAGAGACAATCAACTAAATCTATTAATAGTAATCAAAGAGTTGAGGTAGTAAATTGTTTGAACAATTAAATTTAAGAGTACAATTTAAAGTTGATTATCTTGAGTAGTTTTGTAAGGATAAGTTTTGGTTTTGTTTTTCACAATGAAAACAAACAATCAAATATTGTTTACATTGATCAACAACAATCAACAACAATCGACAGGGAAAAAAAGGTTGAAAATCACTTAAAATTAACTAACAATTTAATCACTTAATTTATCAGGTGAATTAAAGTTAATTTGTCAACCAATTTAAAAGAGAGAGAGAGAGAGAGAAAGAAAAACAAGTTTGATCATTGTAAGTTCTGGGTATTGATGAAGTTGAATCAATTTGATGGTTGATGTGATATTCAAGGAAGCGATTCAATATCCTCCACCATGGTAATCGGATGCTCTGTCAGGTACAATAACAGGTAACACATCCTTCTTGGTGTCTCAAGGTGGGTGTGTGTGCTCAGTGTGTTTCCAGTATGCACGGATTAACACCGAGCACTTGAAAATTCAATCTAAGATGATATTGGAATGGTAATGATAATGGTGAATATTTCTCACGATTTTAACACTTTCAGCATTCAGAATACAGGAAATGATAATTCAGCAATACTCTCATGTCGTTGAACGTTTATTTATCATCATGAT